GTTTAGATATACTAGTTTATCTTCTCCTAAGTCATCCTTAGTCAGTTTTATCTAAATCCCTAAACTTTAGGGATTGATTATATTTTATGCCTATTTATTTTATTGTACTCATTCAGATTCATAATAAGAAATTATTCATATTCAAGTTGGTATCAGAGCACTCTGGTCCAGGAACCCTAATCCAGCAGCCAACATCTAGGGTTTCTAGGGTTTTTGAGTTTTGTCCGCGGTTGCCGAAGTTGACATCGCCCGCACACTCAGCGGCTACTTTCTTCTTCTTATTCATACACTTTTTTTTTCTCTTTTAATTTTCACATGTTACGAAAATAAGTGGGGTGAAGGAAAAATAAGGAGGTACATATAAAAATTGAAAAAAGGAGGAAAGATGTGTGAGAAAAAAATACTAAATTAAATATTGTGGATATAAAATTAAAAAATTTAAAACAAAAAATTAAGAATATTTTAAAATTTTCATTATTTTTTTAAAAAGAAGTGTACTTATAGAAAAAAGGAGGTATATATATCATGAACCTATGGCATAAGGCTACGGCCTATGGCGCCGCCCTAACGGGCTTTCATTCATAAATTGCTTATGGCAATTATGACGCCATGGCAGCGATATATCGGTTATTTAACCTTGTTTCATAGCATAATTAAGGGAACCTAGCTCAAGGGAACCTAGCTCATTTAATTGAACGATGTTTATAAACTCCTTTGAATTTGATTCCTATGAATATAAAAAAAAAAAGCATAGTAAAGACCAAGAATCAAGACTTTCATATAAAATTAATCTGCAAATCAGTGTCAAGGTTAAAAATTAAATAATTAATTTAACCTTTCAAAAATTTAATGTATTAATTTTATTTTTTAATTGTATCTTTGTTTATCAATGTATCATATCAATGTTTAATACTACGAAAATACTAATTATTATATTTTACTAAAATCTTTTTGTTAATATAATTCAACTAGTTTATCTTCTCCTAAGTCATCCTTAGTCAGTTTTATTTAAATCCCTAAACTTTAGGGATTGATTATATTTTATGCCTATTTATTTTATTGTACTCATTCAGATTCATAATAAGAAATTATTCATATTCAAGTTGGTATCAGAGCACTCTGGTCCAGGAACCCTAATCCAGCAGCCAACATCTAGGGTTTCTAGGGTTTTTGAGTTTTGTCCGCGGTTGCCGAAGTTGACATCGCCTGCACACTCAGAGGTCGCCGATCGGCCTCCCCGTCGCGTGCCGCCGTCTCACGCGCGGTTATTGTTGAAGAAGCTCGCCGGCGCGTGGACTTCACGCGCCGCCCTCCCAGCCTCCGTTTGCGACACGGGTCACTCCGTTGGACTCGCCGGCCCTCCCTCTTCCCGTTT